GTGGTAAAGCTTTGGTACAAACCCATGAACAGGCATAAAATCTGTGTTAGTAGAGATCTTGTGATTACCGAGATCACACTGATCACTGTGGTTAAGGAAATAATCAATAATCTGTTATGGGATACATTTTATAAATAGCCTTTCCAACTGCCATCAATAGTAGGCATCCAATCAACATATTCTACATAATCAATAAGGCATCAGTCAGACAACTTTAAATAACAAATCAATGATATCAACAGGGATCAATAATGACCTCACTGTTACTGAGGGGTCAACACATGGTGGAGCGATCCATAGTCATTAACAAGAAGGGTATGATGTCATACACATACCAAGTGTGTGCAGGCGTGTGTGTGTGTGTGTATTTTCTTCACACATATAACTGTATTGTATGTAACTATAGTAGCTGTTTATAATGTTATTTCTTACGTTTTTCATTAATCTAAAGTCAAATTGAGATTTGAATTCTCCTCATTGTGTAAATAAATATAAACTATATCATATAAATCTATACTGTAGCAATTTTGCATATTTTCTTAGTTTTCAAAAGAGAATAAAACTGTCTTTGGTCATATTTATGGAAACAACTCCAGGTGGGCATTTACCATAGCACTGGCTGAGTGTCAACTTAGAGCTTAAAGGTCCACATGTGTAACATTTAGGAGGATCTGTCATAGGTACGTCTTCATTAGTGTATAATCACCAAGTGTGAATCTATCCTGATGTCACCAATTGGTTTGTTGAGTACCGTTTTGAAGCTTCAAGTTTAGCGTTATGAATGTTGCCATGACAGATAGACGGAGCCAGCGGAGGTGACGTACTAAGAGTGGCTGCGCAGTTTCAACTTGTCCGTAGCGGGAAACAATGGCAGCTCACCAGGTCTCACACAATCTCGTATTACAGCTAAACAGTTAAAAAATATATATATGTAAAAGCGATTTTCAGTGAGAAATAGGCAGCACAGTAACAGAATCTTGCTTTGTATCTGATCAGCACTGTCTAGTTTGACAGTTTGATCTGAGTTTGGTGTGCTGCACTGAACAGACTCACTGAGAATGACTTCAGTCACAAGATAGCCCAAAAGCATACTCTGCGTTATCGTATATTTTATTCTAAACTGGAACATAATTTACTAAATGAACATCATAATGTATGGAGACTTGAAACTAGAGATTGAGACCATAAGCATTTAAACAATTTGATTATATTTGTATATTTTGTACTATTTTAAAAATCTGAATTGGTGAACTCTAAACAAATATACACGGGACATGAAGTTTTTGGAAGAACACACTCAACTATAATCACAAATAACTCTCCAAAACTGACATAGTGTTCTTTGGATCATATTCTGCAGCGTTAACTCTCCATTAACTGTCCCAGACCCTGTGATATATATACATATACAGACCTCTAGCGTTTGATTAATGGTATTACACCAATTGGAGGCAGGAACAGTATTGTTCCCACATTTTCTTTACAGTCGTAAACATGAAACCAGTGTCATATGTAATGTCAGCTCTTTCTGCCACAGTGTAGTAGTAGTAGTAGTAGTGGCCTAGTAGTAGTAGTAGTAGTAGTAGTGGCCTTTACCTGACAGGCGGTTTAAGTCTTTTGCACATGGAGGACACACTCTACCAGATGAGCTACCAGGGAACCTCTTTTAGGTTCATTCTTGACCTTGGAATCTTAAAAAAAAAATACTCAGATTGCTTTGTGTTTCAGAAGGTTGTGGTCCTAAAAAAACTTTCGAAAAAGTTCCAGGTGCCCAGGTGGTCATAATGTTATGGCTGATTGGTATAGGTCTACTACGCTTTCTACCACTGACTGGCTGACCATCTTAACCTCCTCCCCATTTTCAAAGCCTCCTGCCAAAATAATAGTCTTCTCTGTTGAAATTCTCTGTGGTCCTGTATCCACAATGTAGTTGCTGACAAAGCTACATAGTGCAGCCTTGTTCCCACTGCACTTGAGGTATTTTCTGTGGTTGATGGCTGCGTCAACAATCTCACATTCAGACACATTGGAGAGACCATTAGGGATGTAGTCACTTTCTGCCCTTGACATCTGGTCTGCTGCCACTGACGTGAGAAAGTGTCTAACCTCATCATAAGTCACACAGTGGCCCATTGCACTGAGCTCATTGATTGCTTCTCGACTGGCAGATTGTGATTACACAAAAAAAACCATTCTAAGATGGTTCCCCAACACTAGTTTGGTGGTTTCTAAGAGCTCTTAAATCAACACACCAATTTAGTCATTTAGTCAAGTCATACGGAAGGTCAGGCACATATTTATTGCATTGAAGACGAGAGCGCTGATCACGGCTAACATGGGACTGACATTCTTTCTGCTTTTTAAACGATTTTATGATTAGAGGGGAAAAAATACATAGTATTTTAAATTCAGATAAGGATGGATAAGAATAATGCAGCGTATATCCTCTTTCAAGAAATGATTATTTCTATGTAGTAGCAGCATATCCTTCCCAATTCAGTCATCCTACTTTCTGTACTCCAGTGCAGATGTTGTGACTGGAAGCATGACCAGTTTTAGTAGATAACCAAACAAAAAAAAACATTTGTACACTGCATACACGATCAAATAAACCTGATACTGCCCTGAACTTAAAAAACAAAACATCTATCTCATGAATCAATAAGAGTATTGACAAGGAATAGGAGCGATAAGCACAATAGTAGTGGTATGGGTATCAATAAAATCTTATGAATTCCCATCCATTCAAAAGTAATTGGTGCCGCTATGGAAAATATAAATAAAGACAGAATGCATCACATTCATAGTATATTATTTAATAAACCTGGAAAGGATCCTATTAATGTTGGACACTTTAGACCCATTGCCCTAACATCTCACCTATGTAAGTGGATGAAGAAGATATTAGTTACAAGACTTAATTACTTCCTTGAACACACAGGGTTATTTGCAACATACCAAAGTAGTTTCACTCTCTCTTTCAATACTCTCCAAGTAAGTTTTGTCATATGTTATTTATCAGGAAGAAAGGTAAAAGGACCTGTACTTTTATAGCGCCTTTCTTCTACTTTCTTTTTGGCCTTTTATTGTCTTTTTTTTTAGTGGACAGAGACAGCTGAGGACAGGGGGGCAGAGAGAGAGAGGGGGATGACACGCAGCAAACCGCCACAGGTCAGATTTGAACCCTGGGCCACTGCAGCAACTCCGTACGTGGGTCGCCAGCTCTACCGACTGAGCTAACTGGGCACCCAGGAAGGTCCTTCTCCTTTCTGTCTTCCAATCACTCAAAGCGCTTTTACACTACATGCCCTTTCACACACATTCACACAGTGATGGCAAAGAACAGAAAAGAAACTAACTCATTCACATTCACACAACAATGCACAACATCGGGAGCAATTTGGGGTTCAGTATCTTGTTTAAGGATACTTCAACATACGGCAGGGAGGAGCCAGGGATCAAACCAACAACCTTCCGATTAGTGAACGACCCGCTCTCCCTTTGAGCCACAGCCATCCGAAGGAAGGGATAGACAAACAGAACCTGAAGTTATATGGCCACAATATGGAAAAAGTAGGTAATCTTAAATTTCTGGGTATTAGACCAAAAAGTGTATGTAGAAAAGGTGGAATCAATGCAATGAGATCAACACCAATAAAGGCAATTCAGGTTGAGTTAGGAGAAGGGCCCTCAGACCTGAGAAGAGATAAACTCATAGTTACATACTGGAGTCGTCTATGTGGCTGTGGTAAAGAAGACCCTGCCAATAGTGTAATTCAGGAATGTAATATATATAATTATTTTCAATTATTTTCAAGATAATGGTTTTGGCTGGGTGACAAAGGCTAAATCAGAGTTAGAGAATGTCTGTTTTAACTCCCCTACTCCTATTAGATTTTGTTTCCAAAATCCGAGCTAGATTTAAATATAATGGAATTAAAAAGAGAATGGGAAGAGAGTGGGAAAGGACACCTGGCAAGTCAGTACATAAGAAGCAAATATTACAGTTATTTTGATATTTATACAGACAGGTCTAAAAATGAAGAAGATAGGGTAGGCATAGGGCCATACACCAATTAGCCATTACATTATGACCAGCTGGGCACCCTGGTGGTCATAATGTATTATGCATCATTTAATGATGTTACTGTTACTTGTAAAAAGTACATTATCTGTACTAGATACTCTTTCAGCTGAGTACTTGCTAAATATACACCAATATACTAGGCAGCAAGTGAACATTTTGTCCTTAAAGTTGATGTGTTAGAAGCAGAAAAATGGGCAGCATGAGGATTTGAGCGACTTTGACAATGGCCACATTGTGATGGCTAGGCGACTGGGTCAGAGCATCTCAAACTGCAGCTCTTGTTGGATGTTCCCGGTCTACAGAGGTCAGTACCTATCAAAAGTGCTCCAAGAAAGGATATGAGGTGAACTGGGGACAGGGTCATGTTTTCAAGTCTCATTGGTGTAAGTAGGGATAAAAGGCTGGCCCGTGGCCGTATTATTGGTTTCAGGATTTATTTCAAATATGTTTCATATTAATGTTGCACAAAATTATTGAAAGTTTGTTGTTGATAGGGACCCATAAAAAACCTTGTTTAGATTGTCTGCTTATCACAACAAAACCAGAATTTACCAGAGCTGAAATCCTATGAATGTTGGACATATGGCTAAATGCTGGTCTGCCTTTGATCCTAAGAAAGTGAGTTGATTGAGTCCTCATTCATATGCCAGTTTCCTGGCAAAAGGCTGGGTAATTTTAAATAATATTTTCATGCTTACATTATACAATACATTATGCATTTTCTTAAATAGACATTAATACATTATCACACATTATTATCAGGAGTCAGAGAGTTGCTAGAAATGTCAGTGTCATTTTTGTTTTTGGCCAAAAAAGCATGCAAGTATTTACTTAGAGACCATAACAACTGTTGAGGGAATGTGATTTGAGGTTTGTCTAAAAAATGAAAGCAGAAATTTCATGAAATTACATGTTTGTTGCAAATCTGGCCTTTATTACATCAGCCATATCATTTTAGAAAAAAATAAACTAATACTGATAAAAGCTTCATAAACAATCCTACAGGTGCAGTGATCACATAGAATATCAGCTGTAATTGTACAACTATCTTAGTATATAGTATATAACACCATTATTCCTGATTACAGTTAATTAATTTACAATGTACAGAGGTTTTCTCACAATTGTTAAAAACCTGAACATCTTTATTTATGTAAAATACATTGTGGTGTTGAATTGTGATGATGTAGTAAGTCATTGCGAAAAAAGTAGAAAAATCAATGTCCATTCAAAATTCTATACTCCCCATTATATTCAGCCAACTGACTTATGAGTATAATTAATGCAAGTAGGACAAATTGTATTCACCTTTAAATCTGTGTTACTCATGAAACAGGAAAGTATTTGTTAATAGTTTGTCTTGAAAAGAATCAATTCTGTTGTGTCAGACTCATTCAGTAACTTATATATTTAGTATAGTTTCAGTTATCTGTAAAAAATCATGGCAGCAACAGACAGAGGGTCCAGAGTCTTGATCAGTGTCAAACCTCCATCCTGCAGAAACTGAATACAAACCAGGATCTGGTGGCAGATCAATGACACCCCCTTGTAAATGTCTATGAAAAGAGGAAGCATGTTTCTATGGAGGAACAACAGACAATGTTCAGCCTCTCTGACTTGAACCTAGAACTTAGATCACTGTAAAGTGTTTTAGTGGATCAATGATGTGTGTGCCTTCTTTCATAAAGAGTTTCCACATCTAGACTTTGATCTCTTCCTCCTCGTCAGAAAAGGCCTGTGGTGATTTGCAGCTGTGGGAATGAGTAGGAGAGGGGGTGCTGTTGCTCATCCTCGTTCCCTTCGTGAAGGACCCTCCATAATGACGAGACAGCACGTCAGCTGCCCTCTGGAACCTTTCCACCTCCATCACGGGCTCCTCTCTTTGAGGAGACCCCATGCTCGCATCTGGTGTCCTCAGGGACCGCCTCTCCTCCTCTTGCTCTGTCCAGTTAGGGCTACAAGAGCGCCCCCTGCTGTTCATGTTCCTGCTGAATGACCCGCTACCCGTAGAAGAGTTTGGTGAAGTCACCCCAGGGCTCTGCACAGGCGTCTCTGTCAGAGAGCTGTCCCCCTCTTCCTCTCCTTCCTCTTCCTCACCTGCTGCCTCGCTTTGATTGGACATCTGAAGACAGCTGGGGTTGTCAATCAAACTCAGTACCTCAGTCATTAGGGAAGGGCCAAGGTCTACTGTGAACGAGGTGAGGGAGTCTGAGCGTGTCAGTGTGATGCCATCGCTGTCGGGCAGAGACGTTTTCCGGATGTTTCCATCTGGGAACTGTCTGTCAAGGCGGGAGACGCGGGGCAGAGTGACAAATCCAGACTGTAGACCTGCAAACACACAGAAGAAGAACACACACAGAAGTCACTGAAATGAAAAAAGAAAACATGTCAGAGACACTTAATCTTTGTAGATGACAGCATTAAATCCTACAAGTGTTACAATAAGTGTTTAACAGGCAAGTGTAGGTAACCTTATGAGGCAGCTGGACTGGCAGGATCACACAAGAACCCATCTTGCCGGGCTTCATTCTATGTGTTTGTGGCCAAATTACAGTGGTACCGGACTAATCAGCACCCTATGAGGACTTACTGGCTACGGGGGTGGGAGATGTGACGTAGCGAGAAGACACCGTTCATTTAACACCAATGGTGGCTCCCATAGAGGTTAGCATAGATGCTGCTAGCATCAGCTATATCAGAACTGGAGAGTATTTCTTCATTGAAAGAAGCAGAAGAAAGAAGAAGAAATTTTGTTACTATATTTTCAACCTGCTCACAGAGGAAGGAAATAATATTGGGCCTTGAAGTATAATCTGTTAAATAACCTTCTTGCAATTCAATTCTTTCACCACAGGGTGGCAGTATGTAACAACCCAGTAACCCACTGCTGGGAAAAAAAGGTTTTTGTCTCCTGGACAGATTTAATGCTACGTAAGAAATAGTGAGTAAAGAAATCAAGTAAAGACCCTGATGACGGCCACAAGCAGAAACACCTTGGTCTGATAACAAACTAGTGTTGCTGAGGTTTTTACCTCTTAAACGTTTTCCCTTCTCTGTGTACTTTGGAAGCTGGTGAAGCTGTGCCAGTAATTTCTCCTCTGCTTCCACAGTCCAGTAAAGAGTGAGGGATGTTCAGCTGATAACGCTTTGATCATTTGTGAAGAATGAAAGAGGAATCATATCTAATTTAAATCAAAGGTTTATCTTTGTAATATTAGAATCTAAATCTTAAGTTTTTCATAATAGTTTATATCCAGTTGGTACGGACTGTAGTTTTGAAATACTGGCATTGATTTTGATCAGTAGTGGACCTGTAGTTACTTTCAAGACTCACAACATTTATAACAAACAACTGAGAGAATATGAAGAGATGGATGGAAATAAATGACATGAATGACAAACTAAGACACCAACTCATGACAAAAGGTTCCCATCATCCTTCACTTCACTGACTCTCAATATCATGTCCACATCACTCTGTTTGGGCAAATTCCTTCTGACTTGGGTAAGAAATCTGGAGAGAGAAAGGGGATTTCCAGTCCAGACTGTGCACGCTGCTGCCTGATAAGCTCCGATTGGTTAACAGATATAATGAATGGCGTGTTTATGCTGTGCATTCAGGCAGTGACACACACACACACACACACACACACACACACACACACACACACACACACACACACACAGATGACAGGAAATGCACACTAAACATATTTCTTTCTCGCAAACCAGCTGTGTGTGTTTGTGTTTATAGACCTAATTGTGTACAGGTGTTGCCTAGGTGATTCCAGATGACTCAGAAGAAGCCCGATTGTTTGCTGGTTGTCTTGGAAGAATGTGGGAACGATGTTGAAAGGGAGAGGGCAACCTCACCCTCTCTGTTTGTGTGCTCGCTGACATTTATAGTCATGTTTGCGCCAAGTCAGCTCAGCCGCTCTTTATGCCGTTTGTTCTGCTGGAGAGTTAATCGAGAGAACTGCAACTGTAATATAAAATACCACCAGTTTTTTGTTGTTGACTAATGCAGTGCTGCTCTGCTACTCGGCTTCGGCCCATAACTACGTCTTTGGTCATTCTGTCTGGGTTGCAGGAGCTTTTAGGAACTTTTTGCCTCTGAGTTTACTGTAAGCTGAAGACAACAACCAAAAAAGAAAATGTTCTCACTGTATGCCTCTTCCAGGATCTTGACATTTGATATCAGACACAAAATTTAAAGTGATGTTCTGAGCCTCAAACTAAAAATATGATTTTGCCAAGGTTTTTCAGAATAAATGATTTTGTATTAAAGGACCAGTGAGTTGGATTTAGTGGCATCTAGCTGTGTAGTTCGCTTTAACCTCCCCTTCCAAGCGCAAAAGAGAAACTATTTAACAAATTTCCCCCTGGGGATCAATACATTTCTGATTTCTGTGCTACTGTAGAAACATGGCGGTTCAACATGGCGGACTCCATGGAAGACGACCTGCAGCGTCTGTAGATAAAAACGGCTCATTCTAAGGTAACAAAAACATAATGATTCCTGTATGCAGGTGATTACATAACAATGAGAACATACCTATGAATATTATATTCTATTTCTGCTGAAAGATTCTTCTAAACATTACACACTGGACCTTTAACAGCAAGAACCCAGTTGTTTGAGGTATTTTGCTGAAGTTTACATGTTTTCCCATCGGCTGTCCTGATTTTTATCCAAGATAAAAACTGTACATACTTTATATAACTGAACACACAGTGAATAATTCATTAACTATCTGTGACAATAGTTCAAGTGAGGTCCAAACTGACCTTTAATGCCAAACGAAGTGAGGACTTCTCAAAAATGTCAAGCTGAAAGCTGAAGTAAATCAATCCTGGGTGTCAGTGGAAAAGCTTCCACCTGTGCTTTTTAAGTAACAATTACAAAATGTGCTATCATCAGCATATGACATAATCCTGTTCATGTTGTTTGACCTTTTTCAGTCAACTGTGCAGCCTTACTGGCATGAACACTACTGTGTTAGATGGGATTTGTATACACAGACACTGTGGCTGCTGTTACATTCATAACACCATGCCTTATTGTTTACTCAATAAACCCTTACAGTATATTTGAGTATGATTTGTGACTTTTTGAAGAACATTACATTTTCTCAGCTCCCTTTTAATGAAGATAACTTTCTGCTAAGATGCTTTAGATAAATCCTGTCCCATGCTGGAAGTGATTATCTATATTATCTCACCATATGCACAGAGGGAGTCATCTGTGGAGCTGACGGAGCTGGGAAACAGCACCCTCTGCAGGCACCCATTAGGGGAGTTCAGCTGTGGTAGGGAGATGGCATTCTTGATGATGGGTGAGATGTCCGGTGGCGGAGATGACAAGTCACGGGAGCCCCCTCGTGGGCGGGGCACAGAGGTCTTCCGCACATGCCGAAAGGTGCGTGTGAAGAACCCGGTCTTGGAACTGTTTGCCGAATCCGGACTTCCTGGCTCCCTGGTGCCCCCGTAGTTGCTTAGGAAGGAAGTGTCACCAAACACGTCCCCGCCACGGCCGACATGCATGGTATGTCGGAAGTCACCCAGCGGCGGGCTGATCATGTCCACTGAGAGCTCGCTCTTGAAACGACGTTTCCCCTGAGAGCCAGACACAAGGCCCTTAATCCCTGGCAGTTTTCCCAGACTCATGGTGGCAGAAAAGTTGTTGATTTCCCTTTAATTCGAATGAGAGTGTCTGAGCTCTGATTACATGTCAGTCAAGTTTAAATTCCGGTTTAGGGTCCACTGTAAAACCAGAGAGAATAAAAAAACAAATTAAATGCCGGCAGAGTGAGAACAGAAAACACAAATATGTGGTTGTTCAGTCGGCAGAGAATGTGTGTATAATCCATTCTCCACACGGCCAGAGCCAACTATTCATCCACTGTCGGCCCACGGTTTCCCTTTTGGACCTACACTGAAAGATGCCAGTATTGCTGCAGAGTCTGTCAAGCCCCCGTCTACATCTCCTCTTTCTCTCTCCCACTTTCATGTACAGCTATTACTGCACGTCTGTCCAGAATGACCAAACGCTCAGCTCACTTCTCCTGCACAACAGCGGCTTTCAGTCATGACAAAATAACAGAGAAGATGAATTATAAGGTCATACTTCGTTTCCTCTGGTTACCACAGCTTATGTGGTTGGAGAGTTTGGGGCTGGCTGGATCCTGATTCAGATTTGGTTCAGTGAATGACAGTTTAGAAATACCAAAGTCCTGCCGCAACTGCAAATACACTGAGATGTGATTTCAGCCAAACAACTCAGCTGGTCTGTGTGACACAAAAGTACAGAAACAGACTGATGTTTACACTGTGTTCACTTAATTTTATATATATACTTGGAGAACTGTCTTGCTGTCAGTCTTAACTTACGTTTTGCTTGCAACACTAAGAGGATCACCTCACCAGGAAGCCTCGTAAAACCGAAGTATTTTTCATTTGTTTTTTACCCTAACCCAGTAAAAGAAGCTTTTAAGTAGCAGGTAGGAAGAATTGTAAAAACAAAGTTAGACTGCACACCGGCATCCTTGATCAAATTTGTAAATAACTCAAAATGACATTGGACTGAGTCACTTTATAGACTGAATTCCACCAGACTGTGGTGCCCCTTCTCAATATTATTTAGGTTTCAGGTTAGCCTACAAGGATTAGTGGTGTTACTCAGTTCTCTGTGGTTTTTAACCTTACACACCCACTACACTACGGCACCAAGCGCTTTAGCATCCCACCCACGCTGCATGCACTGTTCATGCTTTCTTTTACTGATTAGGGTTGTACATTTCTCCTTTTAACTTCAGTTAACTTAAATTAAATTCCCTGCTCTTTTCAAAGAAGGAATTCATAAAACACAACTAAAGGTCAAAACAGTGTCTCCACTCGGTTACTTACTGGCACTGACTCCTTTTCGTTTGTGTGTTTCATCCGGTAAGTTGTTCTGCGCTTGTCTTCCTCAAACTCCAAGCAGAGAGAGCGGGGGAGTCCACTGCCATGCACCGCCTCCCACTAAAGAGGTTTATCCATGTGTGGCACCACACCGTCCATGGGACATCCTGTCAACAGGCCTGTGACCCCTCTTCTTTGTCCTCGGTTCCCTGGTCCCTCCGTACCCAAGACACCAGACCTTTGAGAGGTTATCAGAGCAAAGGAAGAAGGAGGGTAACGCTGTCTTGAAAAGGGCAATAAAGTAAGGTGGTGTAATCCAGCAACTGTTTTGTCTGCATCATCCTGGAAGAAAGATAAGACTCCTGCAGGATTGTCCATGCACTGGATTAGCTGCTAATCCCTTCTGTCTTCCCTCCCTCTCCAACTCCCTCACTTGCTCTCTGCCTTCTTCAATCCACTTAGTCCTCCAATGGTGTCTGGGTAGGGGGGCTTCTGTGTTTTCATTCAGTTCACTTAAGGCCAGCTAAGAGAACAGACAGGGAGAAAAGAAGAGAGATGTGAGTTACACACTACACCAAAGACTAAAACAGGAGCATTCAGGCGCACATAAATGTGTCAGGCAACTCAAACTTTGGCTCGGCTGATGCTGGGAATGTCTCCCTCTCTCTATGTTGCCTGTGGAGTCTGCAGGTTCTCAAGAATTTCTGCAGGAACAGAAAATCTGAGCTCACCGGGAACTTTGTGTCTTTGAGTCTTTTGTGTACGACCCGTGCACGATGAGTATTCACTTCAGCACAAGCACTTTCCATTATTCAGTCAACAGCACTTTTCTACAGTTATAAGGTTTAAAATCATATTAATTTCAGCATTAAAACCATTAGGACATTAGTCAATCCACAAAAAATCTTAAACTATTACTGTTTTGACTATCGATTATTTATGTAAATTGTCCATTGAGGACAAACATTTGCAGCATCCCCAATGTGAGGGTTTGCTGCTTTTCTCTGTGTTTTATCTTCTTTTAGACATCTGGTTGGACAGAAAATGCTATTTCAAGATGCCACCTGGGACTAAGAAATTGTGCTTGGCATTCTTCATATTTTATAGACTAAACAATGAATTAGTAAATCCAAAAAATAACAATTTGTTGGTGAAGATCCTTAGTTACAGTTTATATAAGTTGTTCTATGGATATACAGTATATATATACACACATTTATTTTATTTATTTAGGGTATTTATTTGCCTTTATTAAATAGGACAGCTCAAGATTGACAGGAAAGGGGGAGAGAGGGGGGATGACACACAGCCTACAGCCGCAATTCGGACTCAAACCCACGGCCATTGCAGCAAGGACTCAGGTACATGAGGCGCCAGCTCCACCAGGTGAGCCAGCATGGAGCCCCGTACTGATGTTCCTGATGTGATGTTTATGTTAGAGGGAATCTTTGCAGTTTTTTATATTAAACATGATGTGATGTGACATAAAAACAAAAAGCCTTGTCTGCACACAGACACAACATTGATACTATAAACCCACTTCTCCGGAGATTTTTCCTACAACCTCCAAAGGCCCTGTGTATCTGTTTTTCCTGGACACACTCTGAGCACCGTCTTCCTGTCTCCTGGAGAAATGACTCCAGGGCAAAGGGAGCACTGATAAGCTCCAAACATGTGACCTCTCCAAACCGCAGCCAGCGTTGGATTAATGTCACCGGAGTCACTAGCCAGTGCTGCTGCCAGGCCAATCTGGGCATATGATATAACAAATTGAGCAAGTTGATGGTGCCACTCTTGCTGGGCACTGCTCGGGGCTAAGATTACCTTCCCTAAATCTTTAAGTAATCCCAGTTGTTCAACAGGACAAATGTTCAGGGGCGGCCATCACAGACAGCATTCAGTGCCTGAAACCTACAAATGGGAAAGGAGGGAAGATATGATGGAAGTACGGGTGTGACAGAAGACAAATTTGTAGGGTGACCATTCATAAAGAGGAGGAGGGGAGGTAGGATGGATTTTAGCTGTTGCCTGATCCCAGAGCTCAGTAACATTAGCTTAAGGGAGCGATTAGGGCCTATGGGGCACGAGAAGGTGAGAGGCAGATAACCGAGACAAACACCCACTGTCCCAGATTGATGAATACCTTTAAATACAATTTCCGTCCCTAAATCCCTAACCAGCAGGGCTTTTTTCTCTTTCTTCCTTCAGTAATTTTGGTGCTACTTTTCAGTCATCGGCTGCCTAATTTAACAAGTTTTCTCTACTTTTATAGACGGCAATTTCTCCTACCCCCATATCAGGCTTTTATATGGTTTCCTTCTTCTTTCATGGCTTTGTGAGCAGTAAACGCAGCCCAACGCAGGTCTCCTTGCGTACAATAAAGTGTAATACCAGCATAGAAATTCACTTTAGGAACTATATTCAGAAAATCAACCTCATTAGGGACACACTGAAAGACATTTAGATCTGCTAAACATGTTATTTAATCCTAAATTGTACCTGCAGGCATCCATAAACAAGCCTGTTTTGCGTGAGCTGCCTGACTGATTGCAGAGACAGAGACAGGGGAAGGGGGGTTGGAAAGTGTAATGGGAACAGCGTGCAATGAGGAGAGCAGACCGGACGCCATCTATTACGGCCATCAAATAATGGATCTGAGAACGCTGATGAGAAACACATTTTTACCTCCCGCCTTTATGTGTTTTTCCCCCAAGACTTCTATTTTAGCCTCCTCCTTCAATAAATCTTGCGGTCTTTTATCTCTGTTTTTCCCTTTGTCACAAACACACACTGTCAAACATGCTTCCCTTCTCTGTCACGCTCCCATCTGCAAGCAGATTTACTGAGTTAGTCAAACATCTGGTGCCACAGAGCCACAAACTGCAGAAAAGGGCTCTGATGAGATTTGATGGGCCCTTCAATCACAGTGGCTCAGAGAGAAAGTCATCTGTGCACTCATACATGGACACACACACACACACACACACACACACACACAATCACACACACACTCAGGGCTGTGTCGCAGTGGGTCAGCCCTGAGGTTGCTTCCTCCACTGGACCGGAGAGCCACGGTCCTTTTACGGCACAGCACCAGCAAACTGTGGTTGAGGTCAGAACACCCTGACCATTACGCATGGCTCCAAAATACAACATGCACTCAGTTTATAGAATCTACTGCTGCAACGTGGCAATTCTCCCCGAGGACTGCCAGGTCCTTATGGTGAGGGTGTCTCGTTTGTCATCTGACTGCAGTAATAGCTAACTGTGATGATGTATAAATCTGATTATATCTGATTGGGATGTGGATTCATGATGATGGTGTCAGACTGTGAACAGAGATATGTGTGATGTGACGTATCTGAGCACTGTGACTTGTAAATAAACTTCCTGTTCAACACCCCACTGACGCTTTCCTTAATCTACAACCAAGTCAACAAAATAACTCACAAGAACTGAGATAAGAATTCACTGCACATTAGACCTCTTCAACTGTAGTTCATTGACTGCTTTTTCAGCACACAAAGATTTCAAAGAAAACAACAGCAGGTTAGGCAACCAAATCAATCTTTATGGTCAGGTTTAACCCATGTCATCATTCACTGCTTTCATGAATTCTTTTTATTATTGTATGGGACAACAGGCCACAGGGGAAATGAGGCCAAGCAACAGAGAAGCGCAAACAAATCTCATTCTATTTCAATAGCCACGCTGAACAAAGAGCATAAGGAAATGTTGCCTCTCTAAACTTCCACATGGCAAACGCAAACAGAGAGGCACAGTTAAAGTGGCCGTCTTGTTTAAAAAGTCTGTTTAATTGATGTGGAGCAGGGTAAACTCAATGACCGTGGCCATTTCCACCTTGAGTGCTCACTCCATCACTGTACGTTTTGTCTTATTTTTAAATCTTCATCTCTTGACAAACATATTTTCCATCTACCTTCATGTAATCATATAAAACCTGCATTTGTAACCACAGAGTAAACCCATTATTATGCACATATATATTTAGTTTAGAGTTCCTGTTCTCGCTCGTCATTCTCCAGTGTCCACAAAAGACCTACACTGCTGCAGAGAGTCTTGAAGATGTTTGGATATTTGAAGTCTCTCTAACCATGACGCCTCTTCCCTGACAGGCTGCCAACCCACTGATCTGAGATCTGGCACAACTGTAAGACAGTTGTTCTGTAGTTCCACTGGAGGAGCACAGTGACTAATTGATTTTGATCGTTTCCACCAAACACAGTCTCACCACCTCAGTTAGGATCAAGCTGCAGTTCACGGCACTCTGTGGGATGTAACACTGTGTGAAGTCGTATGACAGTCAATACAGGGCTTCACATTTCAATAGCAAGTTAAAAAAATATGAAGTAAAAACACAAATCCCTGCTGAACTAATGGGAAGTGATGCTGAAGAAGAGGATGTACAGAGGGTGGATTGTATAATGTATATTGTATAATGTAACTTGGATGGTTGGATGCCAAGATGTAGCATTTGGAAAATTTTGCCCATTTATAAAGATGAAGTTTGTTTTCTTTTTTTTTTAAAGGATTTTCGAGACTCTTGATATTTTTTTTTACAGAATAATGATGCAGTCTCTGGACACAGATTATTTGACCTCTTTGGAGCTCGAGTGCTGGATGTAACTTGTTAATGCTGCTAATTAGCATTCAGGCAGGTTTTCCTCATCAATATAGTACTGAATATAACAGAAAACAAGTCCTTCCATTGTTTTGTGAATAGATTAAATACCAAAGAGAAACACGAACTCTCCATTTAACCAACTGACAACACAGTGATGTTACTCCTTTTTTCAGCAAGTGCACAGTATATGCATGCAGATTCATAAACTGTATAAAGTGTCCGTCAGACTCACGTGGGCATAGTGCAAAACCTTTAGTGATTTTGCAAGAAATCCGGGATGAAGCGACACTTTCTCACTCTCCTCTTTTACGCACAGAGACAGAAATCCACCGAGACTGGATTAACCGTAGACTGTGTAGTAATTTACTGTTGCTGTGACCATTAGCTATTTCCAGTACACGTTACACAACAAACATCAGACATTTGCCGTTTTTCTGAATAATCTTACCTTAAAGTAAAGTCAGAGCGCAGTCCCTTCGCGAGCACAAAACTTCACCGCCTCTTTTCTCTGTCACCCTCCTCGGTTTGCGGTCTGCACCGTTTCCGCTGGGCATGAACTGTGAGTTAGTGCGGCGCAGCGGATCTGTGCTGCTGCTGAGTGGACTGGAAGGAGATGGAGAGGAAGAGGAGCATTGGGGTGGGGGGGGTGGCTGGACTCCAGAAGCGTGAACGACTAAATAATGCAGATATTCAGTGAAGCCTGTAAACTGCAGTAGATATCTTTTAATAAAACTTTTTGATGTATTTGCTGAAACTTGCACATGAGATCGATCATCTGTGAGAAAATCCAAACCAATCAGAGCCAAGGAAGACAGTTGATTGACTGTCTATCTTTCTCAGCTCTGATTGGCTGTTTTTTATTTTTTGCCTGATTTCTTCACAGATTATCAGTCTCATGTGTTACTGTCAGGATATAGTAAAGGTATAGTAAAAATGACCTGCTGCAGCTTTAACCCAGAAAGACAATGAGTAGATGTTTGGACTGTACTGTACTCTGTGAGTGTGTGTGTGTGTGTGTGTGTGTGTCCCATCCTTTACTGGTCAGAATTTGCTGTTTACCTTTTAAGGGGTTCCTAAAAGATCTGTGGGGGCTGTGACTTTCCACAAGCCTGAGGTCATGTAAACTTTCCCTTTGAGCAGAGCAATGAAAGCACATGTAAAAGAGAGGAAAAATACAAAGAACATAGAACATACATACATAGAACAACAGAAGTACAACAACATGTTAGTCGGAGTTAATCAAAGGTGCCAATGTGATGAAGACGCAGCTGAAGGCTGAAATAATAAACTAATGTGACTCTTCCCACACTGTCCTGTCAGTGTGTGCTTTTGCTTCTGGCTAAATATGGGATTTTTTCCCCCCACGTGTGTGTGTGTGTGTGTGTGTGTGTGTGTGTGTGTGTGTGTGTGTGTGTGTGTGTTTGTGTATGAGAGAGAGAGGGAGAGAGAAAGAGACAGAGAGAGAGGAGCCTCCTAATGCTTGAAATCATCAGGTCTTAACCTTGGATCCACTTTGTCTAGCATTGACTTAGACAAATGTTTGACATATAAACCAACTTCAAATTGGGAATAGGCTGCAATGACTTGGATATTTAATCAAAAGCATAAGCTGAGATATGGAGCAAACATAATGTATCACACACACACACACACACACACACACACACACACACACACAGACAGATATCATCCCTGACCTTTGCTCAGCTCTGTAAACATGATCTCTTAAGAGTTCCCACGGGTGTCATCAACCTTTCTTCTTTCTATGACACTTCTTCCTCTCACTCACCACCAACTTTTTAGCTGGGCATGCAACAATAGTTTGTGTGTGAGAGAGAGTGTGTATGCATGTGTGTACTGCAGGATAAGACATTTCAAAGGGCATTTCATTTGATTTTCAGAGGCATTTTTAGAGTATTACCACTGATGATGCACATCTTTGTGGAGAGCTCACAGCAGTCTATCTCCTACCCTTCACCCATTTATGAATGATGTTGGTTATTTCGTTTAATTTAAATCAATTTACTAACTTGAAATGAATATCCCAGGATGTGTGGGAGAACTTGGAAACACAGGAAAGGCTGAATTGACTGAGGGATGCGATAAAAGAGAAAAGGGAGCAGGGTGGACACAGGAGAGAAGGGGTGAGGAGAAAAGGCCGTCCACTCTGAGTAAAGGGTGAAAGGGAGGTGATTGAAGAGAAGGAGATGTGAAGGGAGGTGGGGTGGACCTTGAGAACAGACATGAGAAATGAAGGGATCATCTTCACCGAGAATCTGGGAGGGCGAGCAGCTCCTGTTGACAACAGCAGCAAAGTATCAGACGCTTTCTGATGAGCAGTGAATGTGAAGGCGAGGAAAAGAAAACCAGAAGACCGAAGGAGTGATAAAAGAGGGAGAGAGCAATGACAGGGAATCCAACATCCTAAACTATCATGTTGAAAATGTTGCTGTCTCTGTGAAGAATTGTGTGAAATGTTCTTTATTTGTACATTGAGGTTATTGCAGGAATGAAGAAGTGAAACTTCAAACTTGGATAAAAGAGGACAAACTGACCTGAAGCTCATGGGCATGGGAGGAAAAGAGACAGAGGTAGGGAGGAAGGAGTGCTAGTCAAACAGGATGAGAAAACATTTTTCTTCACAGGAAATGACTTTCTCACAAATCAGACAGGCAGCCAAGAAACTAAAACTCTTCTCAGACACTGAAACTCATTTAGTATTCAGGAGTTCACCGCTGTCACTCAGACCAAATAGATTCATCCAGTAAAAACACATTTAAACAGGTATGAGTAAGTGTAAGGGGGATTCCACTTCACCCAGAGCGTCACTCTGCATGGTGGGTGTCCGTCAGTCTGGATGTATTTTTTTGATTTTGTGAATCTGGCTTCTGATCCAGGTTATACCCCTGTTCTCATAAAACCCAGATGTGCATTTGGAGAACATTGTTTGGGGGAAGTTGAAGTGTGTGTGCACGGAGGGTGATGAGGTTGATATATGGAGGGCTGGGTTAAGGGGTACATGAAAGAAGTCGACCCCTGTGTCTTTGTTTGGATTGCGCTCCTGTTTCCGTGGATTCTGACCCGCCAGGAAGCTGAGTGTTGGCCCAGAGACAATAGAGCATTGTGATGTCAGTCCTCAATGCTTTCTAGGCTACAAAAAAACAGGCAATGAACAGACAGACACATACTGAAACACTTGGTTCTGACAGTCACTGAACAGAAACTGTTCACCTTTGTATCTCGAAACCTGGTCTAAATGTAGGAGTCAGATATTTTTTAGAAAAGGTCAAGAATAGAACATGGCACCTCAACAGCCCTGCACAGTGGTTAGTCCTTTCTGACTATTTCTCAGGAAGTCAGCCTCCACAAAAGCATCTCAAACCATTTCTGCAACATACTGTAATCCATTTCCCAGCAATTGATGTTGAGTATGTTAAAATGCTCACTAAACTAAATATGTGCATGATGATGGCTTTAATGGGTGGTTTCAGGTAATTGTGATAGAATACCATAAAGTTAACTTGAATATATATAATGTTTTTCAGGAGCTGAAAATCGTGTCATTGTTATAAAACTGGAAAATGAAGAAAATGGAAAATCCCCCAAACCACCTCCAAACAATCATATGTTTCAATATACTCATTTTTTTTTTTGCAATACATTATCATTAGTGATTATAAGAGATTGTCTGGAGCATACTGAACATATGGAGCAATAGGAATCCAATTTGACTACAGGTGCAGACAAGAGCTTTAAACCTACTAGAGCCACTTTTTAAGCCTATGGGAGCTGAGGATTACTCATCAAACACCATTGGCAGGGTTTGCAGTTGGGAAGCTGTTGAGGGATCATGCATTTGTCTCTGAAAAGAAGAATCTGGAGATTAATATTGAGATAATGGCCACTTTAATTTGAGTGTTTTAATTCTGTGTTTAAAATGTATGCACAATATAGTGCCTTCAGAAAGTTGCAATAAAAAGCAGCAGCATAGCACCCACGGTATGTAGGCCACACTACTTTCTGCTTACAATCCCACATTAATGCATCACATTGTATTGATGCAAAATTATAGTTGTTGGACCCTAAACCTGTCAGTGTCCAAGATTTCTAAAATCTAAATTTCACTCTATATTTAACTGAATGTCTATAATACAGTGAATGAATGATGATGATTTCAGATCCACCATTATAGTTACTCAAGTAGCTCGGATCAGAAGGCTCTAACAACCTTCTGGCCCTCAGTCTCACTTTCTAACCACGCTTCTTCTGGTGATGTACATATGGGTTTTTTGCAGGTATATTTTTATCATGTTATTCCTATTACTCATCCTTGAGCAGAGGCTCTTAACCACTGTGTCAACCACCCCCATAAGGGTGCCAGAAAGGGTAAGGGGTCACTATAGTGATGTACAAGTCGTCTACTCATATTTTTCAGCGATCAGTTTGACTTTTTTCAAACACAGACCACAGTTAACAGCTAGGAGCTAGGAGAAGAACTCTGCAAGAGTCACTCCCTCGTCCCTGTATGTCTTCCTGGTGGGGAGGCAGATGACGATGTCTGGGAGAGCTGGAGAGCATTGAAACCAGCCATTGTACTTCCAGACGTACTGTATTCATGGTTAGAGTGTGCACACAGATGGCTGATACAGCTGGAGATGGAAACAGAGACCAGATATTGTCAGGGGTTTATTAGGAAACTAAATGGCTTCCTGTATTTTCACATCTCAGTGCTATTGTTGATATCTGTCTCTGTTAGATGACCCTGAAAATATTCAGTTTGTGCGATTACAGACAAGCATTGTTGTGTGGAGCTTGAAATAGAACATAAGCGTCTTAACCACACTGCCACTCTCTCGCTTTATTGTTATGTGTTGTTATGTCATTCCCAGGAGGTTTTCTTCCTGGTGTTTGTTTTGTTGATGTCAGTTAAAAAGGGAATCCCTAAAGCCAGGGAAATGTGATCCAGCAGACGGTGAGGCACGCTGTGAACACTGATCCCTGGACAGCATCTCCAAGCTGGTCCGTTTAGGCATCATACATAAGCAAAAAGAAGCAGGAGCATTACATCCACTTACAATCCAGTATGTGTATAAATACACACAAATAAATACTCAGACAGACGTACGGACTGTTGATGCCAAGAGTGTTGCGCTTGTCGTGACTGCTCTATTACTATATGTTACTCTGTTCCTGTTCTGAGGCAACTTTTAGCATGTGGTTAGCAATAGTCGCATTTTTAAAACTGTTTGTGTATCTGGAAAATTGATGTGCAGTGGTTGTTAAAGTTGTCTATGTCTGCAGTTCAAATGTGTGGTGGAACTCAGATTTAGACAGCTATGTAACACCCTGTAATTCAAACGTCAACTCTAACCTCACTGGCTCGGGAAGGAGAGTGACAGGAAGGGGAGCGGGCCGACGCGTTAGTTTTCACT